ATATACTCCTATCATATAAATGAAGGCATAGCAGTGAAATTGTACCTAAATTATTCCAGCAAGAGAAAAACATTTCATCCAAAACAATACGGATATGTTAGTCAGACATCCAATTGATATAACTACGATATTTCAGCTTAAAGTATGATCATCCAGTCTAAATGAAAATAAAACTTTCACTGACGGCAATTTATACCCGAATTCCAGAAATTGAAATAGTTTTCATTGCAAAACAAAATAAAGCATGTTTAAAAAAATGTCTACAAGGCTTGTATAAAAAAAGTCAGCACTGAACAAACGAAAGTTGCTTTAGGTGATCCTGTACTTTTTCCTTAAAATTCAATTAATCATTAGGTTTACTGGTATTTAACCTTTTTTCAAGGTTCAAGTAAAAACCACTTTTGAATTTAAAAATATACAAATAAATTCACATTTCTTACAAAAGCCATTGCAAGACGGGAGGGACTTTTGGCTTCTGTCAAATAATAAACTGAATACAAAAAAAACGAAAATATTCAATAAAATTCAAACTTTAATAATTTGACCTTAATGGTAAAAGTCATACTTGAATCTTCCAACATGTTGGTTGTTTTGACCAAGAATGAATCACATCTATACCTAATAACAAAGATATGACAATTCATTTTTTGCCAAGTTCAATAATTTGATCTTAGCAAAATAGCCTTTACACTCAAGGTCAGCTCAACTTTCTGCAAAGTTTTGAGCAAAAAGTATTGAAGTCCAAATATAAAAATATTTCATATAACCAATAACAAAGTAACAGCAGACAACAGGAACAAGGTTGTATTTGTGAAATAAAATGCTATGCAACCGAATTAATACAAAAGAAGTAGATTTTATTTTCGTTGCCATACAATTGAAATTTGCCAGAAAGCAGTACTAGTGTCCAGTGAATTTTGGGGGTCAAGTTCATTATTCAGCATGTCAAATGAATGACAATATGCAGATGTGTCTTATTTTAACATACGAAGGCCATAGTGCAATGAATTATTTAGAAATAAAACAATTGTAATTGACAAAACTAGAAATGTGCCATCATGCCACGGATGCCCCCGCATGCAGCCAAAATTTAAGATGGTGCATTAATTTTTTTTTCATTTTAAGTACAAAGCCCTTAAAACTTTTCAATGGTAACACAAACCATTTTCATACACTGTTCAAGGCACTGAAATTATTCAGTCTTAACCTTTTAAAAATAGCATATTGCATATTTGTAGCCAAAATAATGGCTAAAAGTATGAGTGCTGAAACTGAAAGTTCTAAATTTTTCCAACGTTCAGGAAAGATAAGTTTGTCTAAAATCATTGAACCACAACCAAATTAAAACTTAAACTGTTTATTCCTAAGATGTCTCTATATTATTTTCAAAGTGAAAGGGACATAACTCTGCCAAAAAATCATCAAACCATGACCAAATTTCAACTTGACCTGCCCATTCCTTTGACATATCTATATGTCAAATTTAAGTTGAATATGTAACACTGTTGATTAGATAATGAACAGAAACTGTAAATTTCATATTATTTTCAAAGTGAAAGGGGCATTAGTCTGCCAAAAATCATTGAACCATGACCAAATTCGAACTTGGCCTGGGCATTCCAAAAACATATCCATATGTCAAATTTGAGTTGAATGTGTTGTACCATTGAGGAGATAAAAATATTAAACGGAAACTGAAAATTTCATATTACTTTCAAAGTGAAAGGGGCATAACTCTGCCAAAAATCATTGAACCATGACCAAATTTGAACTTGACCTGAGCATTTCTTTGACGCATCCGTATGTCAAGTTTGAATTGAATGTGTTGTACTATTGGGGAGATAATGAACGGAAACTGAAAATTTCATATTATTTTCAAAGTAAAAGGGGCATAACTCTGCCAAAAATCATTAAACCATGACCAAATTCGAACTTGACCTCTATTTTCTCATGACATATCCATATGTCAAGTTTGAGTTGAATGTGTTGTACCGTTGGGGAGCTAATGAACGGAAACTGGTATTTCATTTTATTTTCAAAGTAAAAGGGGCATAACTCTGCCAAAAATCATCGAACCATGACCAAATTCGAACTTGACCTGTATTTTCTCAGGATATATCCATATGTCAAATTTGAGTTGAATGTGTGCAACCGTTCTTAAGATAATGAACGGAAACTGATGATGACGGAATGACAGAATGACTGAAGGACGGAAGGATGGAAGGACAGAAGGACGTAATGACGGAGCAGGGTAACACTATATGCCCCGGCCATTACATGGCGGGGGCATAAAAATAGGTATGTACTGCATTCCATAGCTGTATTAAACTAGAAATACAGGTACAATTACTTTTTTCTTCAGATTTCTAAAAACTTTAAAAAAAACATTACCAAATTTAAAAATGGTGTGAATCATAATTTCCTTATAATGTGCTCCCTGCAAATCTCGCATTTCTCTTGATAGTGGCCATATATGACCTCTAGTTTGTTTGTTTGTTTGTTTGTTTGGGTTTAACGTCACACTGACACATTATAGGTCATATGGTGACGTTCCAGCTTTACTGGTGGAGGAAGACCTCAGGTGCCCTTCCATGCATTATTTCAGGCACAAACGGGCACCTGAGTAGAACCACCGATGACCTCTAGTAATTTCATTTCAGAAATATCTCTGAAAAGCTGCTAAAGGTCATAACCTTTATACTAACTCCGAGTTATTGGACCTATTTATAGAAAAAAATGCATAACATGTATTAAAAACACTCTTATATCAGTTGTTTCCCTTTAGACAATTTTATTAAAGTTTTCACTACATGTACATAATGAATATCAATGACCCTCGAGGCGGGGCCAATTTTGACCTAAGAGCTATTATTTTAACAATCTTGGTATAGTTTCATTACATAATGTTTCATACCAAATATCTAAATTTAACTTTTGTCAATTCGACGAAAAATATTTAAGTTTTTACTAAATACATATAAGGATAAGACCACGGGTGGCACCAATTTTGACACTTTTGGTACAGGACCTTTAGATGATATACCAAACATCAAAGCTCTTAGCCTTGAACCTTAAGACATATTAAAGATATGTCTTTAGATATTTGTATACTTTTAATATGTACATAATGGAAAACAATGACTACCGGGGCACAGTCAATTTTTACGTCAGTGCTTTTATTTGAATAATCTTGGTAGATAGACTATGCCTTATGCAAAATATCAAGCTCTAGGCCTTGTGGGTCTTAAGAAGAAGATACTTTTATTTTTTCTAATAATGACATGGCAACCAAATTGCTGCATGGAAACAGCTTTGGATTCCCTTTACCTCATTATATAATCTATAGAACACAAACGCACACGCGCATGCGCACACACGCACCCAAACGCAAACGCTCATGCATGCGCACGCACACACACACACACAGATGAATCGCTATATGCAACCACATCGCAGATGCTGCAGTAACATAAAAATAGCGAAAATTCAATTATCATACTTTCAAGTTCAATTTCAATTTAGAGTACAGGTCAAGGTTAGTTTAATTTTCATCAAGGTCTTTTCCTTAATGATGATTTGTTTAAATATGAAGTCATTAATAAAAGTTATATACAGTTACAGCGAAAAATCAACAACATTCAATAATTCAACCTTAAAGGTCAATTTCGTTAATGACTAATAATCAAAGTCAATGTTGTCAACTTGAAGGAACATTCAACATAATTAATGTATCAAAGTTTAAAGACCATTCTTTCATTAATAAGAAAGCTTAATTAAGCGATTGACTCTGATTCTTTTGATGTTGATGTTGATGTTTCTGATGACGACGACGATGGTGATGATGACGATGATGATGAAGATGATGACTTTTGGTAGATAAGGTTCACAGAAATGTGTTTGAATTCTTTTCTTAGATTGCTATTGCAGTAGATGAATCCTGTTGATTTTGGGGTCAAAAGGTCAAAGGTCAATGTCATATTGACCTTGTAGGAAAAAACAGATTTCGATCAATAACTTGACAACCCTAGGGTCCTTGGCCCTAAAACTGCATAAGTGTATTTGCCAGAACATGACCTCTTTTAATTTTTGGGTCAGGGGTCAAAGGTTATGGTCACATTGACCTTGTATGTCAAAACAGTTTCCTATCAATTACTCAACAACCAATGTTCCCTTGACCTCCAAACTTTATAAGTGCACTGCTTCCGGTCAGAAGATGACTTCAACAGATTTTTAAGTCAAGGGATCAGAGGTCACGATCACAATGACCTTATAAAAACGGTTTCTGATCAATATCTCAAAAACTCATGGACTCTTTACCGGTGCTAGTCTTGGTCAGTAAATAACCCCTTTTGATTTCAGGGATTTTTCCAGGATTTTGGGAACATGACCCATACCTATGGAATTGAGAATTTTAGTGATATTTTGTTAAAAATTGGGAAAAAATGCATGACTGAAATTTTGCAGTGATAAAATGAATGCAAAAATCACTGTATAGGATGGCATCTTCAAACATTTAAGCATATTAATGCAGAGGAGCCCTTATTTTCAAAGATTTTAGAATTTTTTATTCAATATTTTTATTTTGTAACATTCAATTGGGAATATGACCCATTAACGGCTATAAAATAAGCCAAAAAAATCTCTGGATTTAAGGGTCAAAAGACAAAGTCACATTGAACTTGTACGTAAAAACGTTTCCGACTATTAAGTCAACAACTCAAGCTAAAGGTTGTGTTACCGACTGCCAAGTGTTTGCCTGAAGGGTGTTTTACCGATTGCCAACCGTTTACCTAAAGGGTGTGTTACCGATTGCCTACTGTTACCTAAAGGGTGTGTCACTGATCGATTGCCAACCATTTACCTAAAGGGTGTGGTACCGATTGCCAACTGTTACCTAAAGGGTGTGTCAATGATCGATTGCCAACCGTTAACCTAAAGGTTGTGTTACCTATTGCCAAATGTTTACCTAAAGGTTGTGTTATTGATTGCCTACTGTTTACCTAAAGGGTGTGTTATCACTCCATTGCCAACTTCCATCTTGAATCTGTTTTGTCCCTCCTATCCAGAAGTCAACAGAATGAGTTGACAATAAAGCTGAAAAATAAGTTAACTTAATCTTTTTATATTAGCGTGTCATTAACAAATAAAATGTAGTCAGGTTTATCTACATTTACATGAAACACTTAATTGAAAGAGACAATTGTTCAATTTTATATAAAACAAGAATGTCGAACGACACATATACCCCCCTTTCTAGCCATTGACTCACATAATTGGTAATTTTATTACAGACACTTGCCAAAAATGGGTACATAGAAGTGTTCAATTATGGAAAAATCAACGGAAACCATTTTGACTTTTAAGGCCCATGTGACATTTACCTTTGACCTAATGACCCCTAAATCAATAGAGATCATCATCTTCTACTTATGACCAATAACTAGGTGAAATATGAAGACTTTGTGATGAATACTTTTCAAGATAATCAGCGGAAACCCTTTTGACATTTAAGGCCCCTGTGACCTTGACCTTTGACCTAGTGACCCCAAAATCAATGGAGGTCATCTATTAGTTATGACCAATTACTATGTGAAATATGAAGACTTTGTGATAAATACTTTTCAAGATAATTAGCGGAAACCATTTTGACATTCAAGGCCCCTGTAACCTTTACCTTTATCCTAGTGACCCCAAAATCAATAGGGGTCATTTACTAGTCATGACCAATCACTATGTGAAATATGAAGACTTTGCGATACATACTTTTCAAGATAATCAGCGGAAACCATTTTGACATTTAAGGCCCCTGTGACCTTGACCTTTGACCTAGTGACCCCAAAATCAACAGGGGCCATCTACTGGTGATGACCAATAACTTTGTGAAATATGAAGACTTTGTGATACATACTTTTCAAGATAATCAGCAGATACCATTTTGACATTCAAGGCCCCTGTGTCCTTGACCTTTGACCTTGTGACCCCAAAATCAATTGGGGTCATCTACTAGTGATGACCAATCACTGTGTGAAATATGAAGACTTTGTGACACATACTTTTTAAGATAATCAGCGGAAACCATTTTGACATTTAAGGCCCCTGTGACCTTGACCTTTGACATAGTGACCCCAAAATCAATAGGGGTCATCTACTAGTTATGACCAATCACTTTGTGAAATATGAAGACTTTGTGATACATACTTTTCAAGATAATCAGCGGAAACCATTTTGATATTTATGGTCCCTGTGACCTTGACCTTTGACCTAGTGACCCCAAAATCAATAGGGGTAATCTACTAGTTATGACCAATCACTATGTGAAATATGAAGACTTTGTGATAAATACTTTTTAAGATAATCAGCGGAAACCATGTGGTCTACCGACGGACAGACCGACAGACCGACGGACCGACAGACAGACCGAAAGACAGACCGACATTAGCAAAACAATATACCCCCTCTTCTTCGAAGGGGGACATAAAAAAGAATAACGCTGCTTACATGTAATAGTATGCTTTTATTTTGCTCATTAGACAATAACGTGTGTTGTAAACACAAATACCCCTGGGATTTTTATCAGTAAAAATATTAATTAAACATTAAGGTATTTGTTAAACACATAAGCCTCAGGCCAAAATACTTGTCAGTACTATTTTTCAAAAAAGGTTTACCCATTTACTTAATAATAGACAGAACAATTGCCAAAAAAAGTGAACACAGTTATATAACTTGAAGGAGTCATGATGTTTTGTAATTGTTAAATATATAAGTTGTCATGTCATTGCTTTCTGATGAAGTCAAAAAATATTCAAGTTACCAATAAAACTTCATCAAATGTATTAAATGCAGACCTTGACCTTGAATCCAGTGATCCTAAACTCCACCCAAACTTAAGGACAACCTGAGGCATGTTCCCCCTAATTAAGAGACATTGGTAAAATAATACAAAGGTTGTGTAAGACAAGAGTCGGTTGAAACTAGTGATGCTTCCCGAATAGGTTTTGGACACAGAAATGTAAATCCCCTTTGTATATAGTTTCAGAGTTATGTCCAAGACAGTTCAAAGTGCAATAATTCCAAAATTAGGCAAAGAGGAGTTACGAAACTGTTCTTTTACATTGCATATTTATACTCGCAATGAGATCTATCTACCTACGAAGTTTCATGCTTCATGTTGATACCCTTCGGGGTTTCAGAGTTTTGACCCGTACAAAGTTCAAAGTGAAAAAATAAACAAAGGGCAATAACTCCAAAAATAGGCAAGGCAAGGTTCAGGTTTTTTTGCACTGTACTTCTATTTAATGAGGTCTATCTACCTTTCATGTTTCATGTTAATATATCTTATAGTATTGAGTTATGACTCAGACTAGTTCAAAGTGGGTTTTTTTTGTTTGTTTGTTTGATTTGGGTTTTACGTCACACCGTCACAGTGTAGGTCATTTGGCGACGTTCCAGCTTTACTGGTGGAGGAAGACCTCAGGTGCCCCTCCGTGCATTTTTTCAGGCACGAACAGGCACCTGAGTAGAACCACCGACGTTCCGTAAGCTAGCTGGATAGCTTCCTCACATGAAAGAATCCAAAGTCTCTGTCGGGATTCGAACCCACAGCGGTGAGGGGCAAGTGGTTTGAAGTCAACGACCTTAACCACTCGGCCACGGACGCCCCAGTTCAAAGTGTCAATATGAACAAAGGGCAATAACTCCAAAATAAGGCAAGGCAGAGTTACTGTTCTTGTGCACTGCACATCTACCTAATGAGATCTTTATACCTACTAAGTGTTTCTTGTTGACACCTTTTATGGTTTCTGACTTATGTGCCACACAAAGTTCAAAAAGTAGTGTAACAATGAGGAAAGGGCAATCAAACCAATATTAGTGAGAGTTACGGTTCTTAAAGATTGTTCATCTACCCAATAAGATCTATCTTCTTACAAAGTTTCATGTTGATAACCCTTGATGTTTCAGAGTTATGTACCGTATCTCTCTACCAAATGCCAAAGACATATGTCCATGAATAAAGGCTGCCTGGGCGAAAGTAAACAAATAATTTTTAGCACTGCTAACCTTGACCCAACCGACCCCTAACAATTCGACAAATAATAATGATAAATCCCCGGGGTGGGGCAAATTTTATCTGTAGGTAGTCCAAACATGTGTTCTGCACACCATAACAATATAAGTAATATTTCTGCCAAAAAGTTTTAATTTCTTTCTATCTGTTCAAAAGATACAGTGCGGACAATTTGGATATTGAATCAAAATGACTAAGTGTGATCTTAACCTTGACCTGAGAAAAGTCAAACTTGCGCTGTGCAAATCGGCATTTGCTTAACATTTCTTTCAAGTTGTTTGAATTTTCTTCCACCTGTTGAAAAGAAACAGATCCGACACGAAAAGTCCCGTATTAGTCTTTATAAATCAATAAATCCCTGGGATGGGGCCAATTTTAATTGTAGGAAGTCCAAACTTATGTTCTGTACACCGTCTCAAACAGGTGCATAACAATATACTATACACCGAAATTCTTTTGGCGTATAATAAAGGCTGTAAAAGCAAAAATGTTCAAAAATTACTTTTAAGATCAGTGTGCAACATTGTAAACATTGGTGCCAAATTTCATCGGTATTGAAGCATTTTTCACAGTTTCATAGCAGTTTGAACTTGTAATTGGAGGCTTTTTATGGCAATTATTCACAATATGCTTATGACATGCATGGGGTAAAGGGTTAATTAAACAAATTAAAAATTCCACTAAAACAACAAATTTTCACCAAAATTAGATGAAAGGCCCCGTGTTAACATGGAAAAACTAGATTTTGGGTAATTCCAGGGGTTTTCATCAATTTTTGTTAATCAAAAAAAGAAAATACCACAAAACGACAATTTTTCACCAAAATCAGATAAGAGGCGATGTGTAACATGAAAAAACTAGATTTTGGGTAATTGCAAGGTTTTTCATCATTTTTGTTAATTAAAAAATAAAAAATACCACAAAACAACAATTTTTTCACCAAAATCAGGTGAAAGGCAACATGTTAACATGGAAAAACTAGATTTTGGGCAATTCCAAGGTTTTTCATCATTTTTTGTTAATTAAAAAAAATGCCACAAAACAACAATGTTTCACCAAAATCAGTTGAAAGGCCACATGTTAACATGGAAACACTATATTTTAGGTATTTCCAAGGTTTTTCATCATTTTTCGTTAATTAAAATTAGATAGATGTTTGTTTTAACCACCCTGATCCATATAGATGTACAAATTTTTATCTTTTGGTGGCATTTTATTTTTTTAAACAAATTATAATGTGTGATATAGCAGCTTTAAGTAAACAAGATTTAATTTCATAATTGACTTACATGCTATAAAATTCTGTTCATTTTCATCAGAGATAGAAGCCAGCTCACTACCAATCTGCCGACAGTATGCTGAAGCGTCTTGCCATGTTCTACCTTCCTCTATAACTTTGTAACAAAAATTACTGGTAGTGCCGGGTATCCAATCAACATCACATTGTGCTAAAATAAAAAAGGAACGATTCAAAATTCAATTTTGTTTTGTGGTTGCGGCTTTGTTTTAAGCGCATCGTCTACCGAAATTATGTAACGTAATTGCCAAGCTTTAAATAAAGAACAGTACTCAACCGTCTTAAAGTTTTCAATATGTAAACACACGAATATGGAGCTGCATGCAAACAGCATAAAGCCTATTCAGACAGATTTCTTCTTAACTGGTGGTTAAGGCTAATCACTTTCACGTTCCAGCAGATTATTTGTAATAAGTCACGTTCATGCTAGTCTTAAAGGTTTCTGTTCTATTTCTTTCTTTTTTTAATTATTTTTTTTTTCATCAAAAATTGTCTTGTACTTTTTAAATTTTAACCAGAACAAGAACAAGTCACAGACGGCCAAATTCAAAAGCGCGAATTCTCCCGCCAAAGAACTGAATAGATGTAAAAAGGACATAGTCTTTTGCACAACCTGACATTTCAATATACACTTAAGACCTTTGTAAATCCGAAGAGTACATAGTTGATACATGATGTTTCTCTTTTAAACATTTTCGCT